AACAAGAGTAAAGGGCTTGCAAAGAGCTGGAGAAGAGTAATAAATGAGAAAAAGGCCTATTGACTAGGGAACACTGGAGAGCAGACCTAAAGGATGAGTAAGGGAGCCACATAAGTATCTGTGAGAAGATGTGTAACGCTAAAGCAGAGGGAACAAAAAGTGACCAGTCCTGTTACAGGAGCATGTTGGTCCCACTGGAGTTATAGAAGAAGCCAGTGTAGCTGAACAAAATGCACACGGTGAGGGAGTTGTAGGAGACAAGGCCAGAGAGGCAGAGAATAGCTTATACGTGGCTCTGCAGGTAAAGGCATGGGCTGCACTCTGAATGAGAAGGGAAGCCATGGAGAGTTTGGAGCAGACATATTATCTGATCTGACACACTGTGAAAGGTGCCCTTGGCTGTTGCGGGGACTGGATTATGGGAGGCAGGGATGGACCATGTAGAAGACTACTGCAGTTGCTCAGAAAGGAGATGATATAGTTCTCCGCCTGCTCTTATTTTCTCAGTGAAGTAAGAGGCACTATCTTCATACAAGTGTAAGGAGGGTATGCTGGAGGCTTGAAGAGAAAGAGAAGCTGTGGTAATAATGGGTGATACATTGATTAAAGAAATATGATAGAAGAAATATGATAGGCAGTTGACTGTCCCTTTGTCGGGCTTATTTACCTCAGAACCTCTGGGGTCCATCTGTTTGTGCATCTCTCTTCCTTTTGTCCAGTCTTTCTACTATCACACTATTTCTTATCCTCTGAGTCCAGGTGGCCTCAAGAGCCCAAACATTTATTTAAAATATCTGCTGGCACATCTAGCTTTTTCTTGTTGTTGTTGTTGTTGGAGTCCGAGTCTTGCCGTATAATTCAGGCTGTCCTTGAACTCACTATGTAGCCCAGGCTACATGGTGAACTTGGGGTGCTCTTCCTGCCTCAGCCTCCAGAGTGCTGGGATTACAGATTTTCGCCATGACACGCAAATCCAGCTCTGTGTACCTTATCTGAGGGAGCCCTTCAGAGTACTCAGCACCTGCTAGGAACTACTATCCATGTGGCCCTCATTCCACTACCTCACAGCAGCACTTACTGAGAGAGGTCCAAAGTTCCCTGATCTTACTAAGACCCATTCTCCTGCCCATCATAGAGGTCTCAGCAGGATTTGAGGGAGATACCTGGGGTTCCTCAGGCTCCTAGTAAGGCCACTACTCTCTACCTCCATGTTACTGCTCACCTCACCATAGACAGCCTCAAAGGACAGACCCACCAAGAAGTACACAATTAGAACTGAGGACCCACTTTTCCTGAAATGATCAATACAGCCAATCTCTTGACCCATCTCCCTTTTGTACGTTGTCATCAGGAGAATTCCAGAACTCTAAGGTTATCTGGAAGATGGCACGCTTAAGGGTCAGGTAGAAACAGGATTACACCACATCTCTCCAGATCCCATTGAGTAAACACAAGTCAGTTGATGCAGCCTAACCACCAAGCAGTCTATGAAATACAGTTTCATGTGTAACTGTGAAGAGAAAAATGAAGTGGAATTTGATTAATACAGAGCACTGGCTCTGCCACAATGAGTCAGAGAGACAGGAAGCACACACAAAAACAGTGGTGACAAAGGGTCAAGGGAGACGAAATCTTAAAGGAGGAACTGATCAATCATATCAAATGACCTCAAAAAGATCAAGTAAAACGCATACATAAAATGTCAATCTGAATTTTTAGTGAAGAGGTCCTGGTAACCTTATGCATAGTACTTTTTGTGGAATCATACTGAAGATATACAATGGGAAATGAAAAAGTAAATACAGAGTATAGACTGTTCTTTAGGAGGAGCTGACTGTAAAAATGATGTGATGATAGCAAATTAGCTAGAAAGGTAGACTGATTGAAAGAGAATTGCTTCTTTTAAAAATTTTTTAGTATGAACAAGATGCCTTCAAGCTAAGAACAAAGATCTAGCTTTGTAAAGGAGAAGTTCAGGTTTATAGAAAGAAGACAATTCATGGAGAATGTTGAGAAGAAGCCAGGAAAGACTAAGGTTAGTGCACAAGTGAATAAATTAGTCTTGGACAGGAGGTGTGACACAGCTTCTCCTAAGATGTGTGGGAGGATTGCAATGGTAAAGATGACTGAAGAAAGTTTTGTAAATGAGGGACATGAAGTAAAGGGAGTTCATTTCTAATGCTATCTGGTTTTTATGGGTTATTGTGCTGTTAGATATTGTCTCAGGCAGTAGAGAGGGAAAGATATAAGATAGTTACTATGTGAAAGATGGGGGACTCCTTACCAATGAAGACCAGTCAACAGAGGTTGGAGACCCTTCATGTATAGTGGCATCAATATGCACCTTTGCCTTTGTGAGTATTTTTGTTTGTTTGTTTTCCAACACTCATATCCGCGGGACAGAGGCAGTACCACAAACATTTGTCAGGTGGTTATTGTGGAGTAACTAAGGATTAAGGGAATGAGGGTGCTGGTAAGAGAGCTATTATTGTAGTCTAGGCTAGATAGGAAATGAGTGAGAGCACAGGGCCAGTCATGCAATGGATAACGCACCTGACTATGGAAACAAAGTGAGGTCAAGAGAGGACTGATGCCCTAGGAGAAAGTAGAGGCTCAGGGACTGGAAGGCATGAGGAAATGCAAGAGGAGAGGAGGTGAGGACAAGACGTGAGAAGTGGAAGGCTAAGATATTGTTGCGGAGGGAAAGATATTGGAATTGTAGGTTTCTAACATGGAGCAGCTTGGCGGGGGTGGGGGCTCTGAGAAGAGCCACTGGAAGGAGGTGGTAAAGTAGTTTGAAAGTAGGTTTCCATGCATGTGGCGTGGTGTCCTGGAGGATGATCCATGATTTAGACTAAGGGAAACTGACAGCACAGGACACAAAACATGAGGTACTACAGCGTAAGACATGAAGAGTTTTACGTGAAGGTGGAGGAATGATAGCCTGAATAGCAGGGCAAAGCTAGAAAAATGTAAATCTCTGCTTTTCACTTCATCCTCTTCCATAGCACAGACCCTTTATCACCCTGTTTTGATTGTAGAAATACAATGTCTCTCTCTCTCTTTCTCTCTCTCTCTCTCTCTCTATATATATATATATATATATATTATCAAATATTAAGAACATTATTGAAATAACCCTTTTTTATTTCCTTCTTTTATTAGTAGATGTTTGCAGCACATAATGTTTACATTCTGGGTATGGAGCTGGTACATGTACACAACACATCTTAATTCCTTTTTCATTCCCTTTCCTTCCCCTTTTCCCCTCTTCCTCCATCCATTGATTTTGCCATTAAAGGTCTATCTCCTTACTTCTTATTATCTTTTATTTTGCTCATTATTTATAAGAAACAGCCATTTAATTGCTCTCCCTGATTTTAGTCTTTTTCCCATAGTCTGTCATACATGGGTTGCCACCTTAACCTACTGAACACACTTATATCCTGTACTGTTGCCCAAGTGCTTCAGTGGCATCTTCCCTGCCTACAGAATAAAGCTCAGTTTCCTTAGCCTCACTCTTAAGATTCTAGGCATAAATCTGGTTTCAATATATTTCATGGTCTTATTGTCTAGTTGAGGCAATATCAAGTATTTAGCTTTTACTTTATAAAATTTATGAGGTATTACTTCACTTAATCCTGGCAAGCATTCCTGAAAGTAGTTTTGTTAACTGTCTGGAATGCTCTGGTTCATTCCTCTAAGTATGCACATCCATTCATCCTTCAAGTGCCAACTGTAGTACAGGTTCTTCCTCTGCCTTAAGTGACACCTCTGTATCTGTCCTTCTTCCATAAAAATTCCACTTTAAGCCCTACATTCCAGCTAGTCAGGTACCTAATAAGGAGGAGCCATGCCTAATTTATCATTGCATCCCAGCTCACAACGTCAAAGCCAGTATCATATATCTTATAGATATTCAATGTCTGATGACTAAATGCATTCATAAATTTGTGGTGAATGGAGTTCTTCTAGTGTTGCAGTCATTTTAAGAGCCATGATTCTTCACTAGAAGATGATCTTCCCAAGGTTTAGGGTTGAATATATATATATATATATTATATATATATATAATATATATATTGTAATATATATATATTGTATATATATACACATGTATATACATATATACATATGTATACATATGTATATATGTATATACATGTGTATATATATACAATATATATATATTACAATATATATATATATGTATGTATATATTGCTTGTTTGTTTTGTGTTTTGTTTTTTGAGACAGGGTCTCACTTTGCAGCGGAGACTGACCTGGAACTCACTATGTAGCCCAGACTGGTCTCAAAATCACAGCGATCCTCCTGCCTCAGCTTCCGGAGTGCTGGGATTACAGGCGTGTGCCACCACTCCTGGCAGGGTTGATACTTTTAATCCTCAATACTTAGCACTACTTTGCAAGCCTTGTAAGTTTAATACACCATAGATACCAAATAAAATGGTAGGAAGTGGAATTGAACTATGGGATTTCACACCTGTGCCATTTTTGCTGCGTCTGTCCCAAGTACTCTTTAAGTGAACAGGGTCTCTGTCATCGCAAATAACTGCTTATATCCTGAATGCTGGCTCTTAAAACAGGGTATAAGCTCTCTTAACAAAGACCCATTTATTCATTTATTCTTTGATCCTTTGAATTACATCACAATTTGTGATTGATCTATATATATTAACTTTCTTCTAAACAGTATGTATAAAAAGCAGTTGGTAAGAATAATGAAGTGAAAGAATGAATTTGGCTTATTTCTACGATTAAATTCTCTTTATGTGGAGAAAAATGAATCTTCCATTTTTGCTGTAGGATTTTCTGAGGATAACTCTTCTTCTAAGGACCATCATTTCATAGTAGAATAGAGAATATTCCACACCAGTATTAGAACTGAGGGAAAACGGGATTTTTCTAGGCAAAGTGAGCCTTCTACAAAGTAGACATCTCATATTTATATAACCTCTTCTTTTTTTCCTCTATGTCCAGGCTGTGACAACATGCTGATGGGTATAAAGTCCCTGAAAATAGTGAAGAAGACTGTGGACCCAGATGGCTCTTGGATGAAAGATGCTGGCAGTGACTCTCCCAAAGTGTATCTCTTAATTGGATCCAGAAACAAAACTGTTTGGGAATTTGCAAACATGCGTGCATTCATGGAGGACAGCACCAGGCCAGCTCCCCGAAAGTTACCCCTACCACATTCCTGGCAGGGATCAGGCCATGTGCTCTACAAAGGTTTTCTATATTTTCACAATCAGGGGACGTCTAATGAGATAATCAAATATAATCTGCAAAAGAGGACTGTGGAAGATCGAATGCTCCTCCTAGGAGGGGCAGGGCGAGCACTGGTCTACCAGCACTCCCCCTTCACTTACATCGACCTGGCTGTGGATGAGCATGGGCTCTGGGCCATCCACTCAGGGCCAGGTATCCAAAGCCATCTCGTTCTCACAAAAATTGACCCTAGCACGCTGGGAGTAGAGCACTCATGGGACACGCCCTGCAGAAGCCAGGACGCTGAAGCCTCATTCCTCTTATGTGGTGTTCTCTATGTGGTCTACAGTTCTGGTGGCCAGGGTCCTCATCGAATCACATGTGTCTATGACCCACTGGGCATTATCAGTGATGAGGACCTGCCCAACTTGTTCTTTCCCAGGCGGTCAAGAAGTCACTCCATGATCCATTACAACCCTAGAGATAAGCAGCTCTATGCCTGGAATGAAGGAAACCAGATCATTTACAAACTCCAGACAAAGAAAAAGCAGTCTCTGAAGTAATGCATTGCAGCCAGGAAGGATAGCAATGTGGCTTTGGTAGATGCTCTCCAGGACCAGAGGCCACAGCCCTTCACAATGTAGTACCCCTCTAGTCACCTGCAAGAGTAGGATCTAAGTGTGAGGATAATATGCTTCCTTTCCCAGATGTCGCTGCCATAGGTATCTTCCAATAGCTTAGATGAGTCTATCATTTGGGAATTTTCAACTTCGGGATGAGTCTGTTACTTAACCCAACTTCTTGGCCTTGAAAGCCTCTACATTTGCATCCAGCTGACTTCCAGCCTTTTCTTTTCCATTCTCCAGCATTTACTTTAACTCTGGCCTCTTTTTCCAACAGTTCAAATTGTCTGCCCCCACCTGCTACTCAATGGCTTTTTCTCCTCTGGCTTTTGCTCAGTCTCTTCACTCCTTATAAATATTCTTTCAATTTTTTTACTGCTCAACTAAAAATACTATTTCTTATTGACATTTAATCTTTATTTCCTCTAGCCTTGTGGTTCTTCCAAGGTAGATAGATGCAATAATAAAAATATTAACATTTCAGTACCACTTTCTAGTTACAAAATGTTTGTACATCATTTAATTCTCTTCTTGCTCTTGTTAGATGTCTTTACAATTGTCATTGTAGAGATGAGAGTTTAGATGTTATTAAATGTATCACAACTCCAAAATGAAAGACCTAAAAAATACTGCAACCCTCATAGTCTTTCTATTGCTATAGTCTAAGCATCCAATATGTATTTTTGTTCACCCAGCCTTTTCTAAATCAATGTGCTCAGAAACTCAGCTTCAAACTAATAGGTTTTACCCCTTTGGCCATTTTTTTGTGTGTGTCAGCACAAGACTTTCCTATAGGTCTTTCAAAATCTCTTTCCTCCAGGAATGCAGGCTAAGCGTGAGGACCCCACCACTGGCCTCAGCTTGTCTTGGTGTCATCTGCTTCTTTCTTCTTGCTTGAACCACAATAAAAGTGACACTAAACAAATAAGCTCATCAGGCTATATTTACCTACAAACTCTCAGTATAAAGACTTTCAGGGTGTGCTGCCCGTGTGAAGTTTACTGTGAACACTCCCCGACACACAGAAGCCCTGGGTAAATATTCTGGGATCTGGAGGGAAGCCAGATAGCGGGCATGTGGCTCTCAGAGACAGCGGTGTGCTGTGTGGTCCAGAGGGCAGCCTGTGCCTCTAGAAAGGGCCTTCTTTGAAATGTTTCCCACAGATGTGTTCAGTCCAGCTGAGTTTGGGTCAGAAGTTCAGGCTGTGGTGCCAGCCTGTATCCTGCACTGAGGCCTCTGTCTTTTCAGGTTGGTCACGAGAGGGCTTGCTTTGTGTGTTTGCAGCTGTTTCCCTTTCTTTGCCAAGCTCGGGCTGTGACCATAGGCAGTGAAGGGAGATTCCCCACCCACTGCCCATAGCATTTGAGTAGATCTTTGGCAGAACAGAAATAACCAACACATAGACACAGGGTAATTCCCTCCATTCTAATAGAACAGTATAGAGAGCCCAAATCCTTTATGGAATGAAGCAGGTATGAACAAATAAATATGAGGATATTACCTGTTCATGGGTCCAGGGTCATTATATGCCCTCAACAGGGAAAGTCTGGTGCACAGTTCCTCTGGAGGAAAGAAGAGTTTGCCTGTGATTTGCTGTCCAGCTTCCATCTGGGATAGGCTTGGATTTGATACCTGCCCTTCACAACTCACCCCTGATACCTAAATCCTTTTAGGTCAAGACATTTTCTCCGGGAGCCCCTGTTAATGTGCTACTTTGCTTGACAGCATGCAGGCCTGGGAACACGTTGAGTTTCTTTCAAGTGAACTTTTCAACTCTGGGGTCTCATTAGATTTAAGTGAGGGAGCAGTGATGCCTCCATCACTATGCTGATGAGTATTAAGTTTGGTTGAACATAATAATCACTTAGGAGCAGGGTGTTAGGGGAAAAGGCCTGTAATCCCAGCATTTGGGAAGCTGAAGCAGGAGAATCTCTGAATTTGAGTCCTGCCTGACTCTATAGCCAGATCCTATAATAAACAAATAAACAAAACAAAACACCACTTGAGGAGCTTTAAGAGTCTTAATGTCTACGACATATCTCATATCCTCTGGGTTTGGCACTGAGGCATCAGTATTTTTAATGTCCTTTCCCCCAAGGTGGTGCCACACTGCAAATAAGCATAAGAACTCGTTACTTATAAAACATAAAAAAGCAATCGCACAGTTCTAAGGACAGGCTAGCATTTTCTGGGGACTGGGGTAAGGGCAGTGGGTCCCCCTGGGGGCAATAAGTGGTTTTGGAAACACTCATGAACTTGGGTGAAAGGCAGGCTTCCTGTACAAAAGCCTCTCTGCTGCTATTTTAAGAAATGAAAGTGAACTACAGGGTGTCACTGTTGTGCTGTAACACAACTCTGCGGGCCCAGCCTCCCTCTGCTGGCTTTGCACTTGGTCCGCTGCTGGCCAGGTTCCTGCAGTGACCACAAGTCTCCTATTTGCCAGCGTGGCTTACGTTCTGTTCCCATGAGCAAGTCTCTGGGCACACTGGTAATTTCAGACCAGAAGGGTAAAACTGGTTTGAAAAAACATGTGTGCCATGGAGTTTGTCAACACTCCAGCCTGTGAAGAACAGGAGGCCAGGACTGTAATGACTCCTGCCAGAGCTGGGGCCTATGTCAGAGTCTTTGGTGTTGCTGCCATCGCTGGCACACGAGGATTTTAATCGGCTGAATTGAGCAGCAAGTAACTGGAGGCCCAGGCAGAGCGACCACAGGGCGGTAAGACTTCCGGCCACACTCTGTGGGTAGGTGCTACACTCAGTCTCCAGGGCCCGGACCTTCCCACGTGAGAATCAATTCCCTGTGGTCAGGCAGGGCCAACGCTCTTCCAGGGCCTAGGGTACTTGACTTCGGTGCTGGGTACAGCAAGTGCTTCTAGTCCTCAGCTATTCACAAGATCCGGAGGCAGAGCTTTCGTTCGCCGCCGCCGCCAACCACTAGAGGGACCTTCAACCCGGGGCGCAGAGTTCGAGCTCACCCGGACCTAAGGTGACCGGAAGTTTGCCCACCAGGGTGTGGGGTTAAGGGTAAAGGTGGGCAGAGCTCAGCGAGGAGAAATGAGGGTGTACTGAGACCAAACTCAATTTCCCTGGAATCTGGCGGGAGCCCCGGGAGTGGCTTGCTGCAGGGGCCTCTATTACGGGTACTCCACGCAGTTCTTGCACAAGTCGGAGCGGTGCGGCGGGGTACTGCGTGGAGGGGCGGGGCCTGTCTGGAGGGCGTGGCCTGTGCGGCTCGGGGCGGGGCTGACGAGGCCGGCT